TTAGCTCTCTGCCCCTGTATATTCAGTGTATCCAGAGTGTATATCGAGTGTATACCGCTCTCTTCGCCCCCCTCTTTGTTTCTACCTCTCCGAATTTCCTAGCCTTCTACCCTCTTTTATTGTTCTCCCTCTCTCAGAATCTCTTCCAAGTTTTCTTAGCTCTCTGCCCTGTATATCCAGTGTATCCAGAGTGTATATCGAGTGTATACCGCTCTCTCCGCCCCCATCTTTTTTTCTTCTCTAATATGATTTTCAGCTCCCTTAAATGGGCATTCAATTAGTGCATTTTCCACTACCAATTCAACTTTTTATTTCTTTAATCATCCACTTAATTGTCCACTCAATTAGTGCTTTTAGTTAATTTGATAATGCAAATACTACCCTACCACTATTAGCTTCTCAATTAGTAAATTGGCCCAACCAGATTTTCCTCTTCTTATTCTTAATGGGTTTGACTGAGTTTTGGTTTTAGGCTTGGCTAAATTGGCTCAACCAGATTTTCCTCTTCTTATTCTCAATGCGTTTGACTGAGTTTTGGTTTTGGGCCTGACTAAATTGGCCCAACCAGATTTTCCTCTTCTTATTCTCTTTTCCTTTTCAATTTTCTTTTCCTTTTTCTTTTCAACAATTAAAACTAAAATCCTAATTAATTATAAAACACCAAATTAACTTAAAAATACTAATTAATTCTAACTAATAATTATCACAAATAATTAAATGCCAAATTAAAAGAAAATCACACAATTTGACTAAAATTACAAAAATATGTTATTATTATTTTTTCTGAATTTTTATTTTTGTAAAACTCCTAATTATTAATTAATTCCAAAAAATGTAAAATCAAATCTTAAATGCCAATGCTATATTTTTGTATTTTTAATGCATTAATAAAATTAAACATGCCCACAAATATATGCAAACAATCAGAAAAATCACGCAATAATTCCTAAAAATAATAAATAATTAAAGAAAAGACCTAATTTTGGGAATTCTTTTGGAGTAATTTGTGTGAGGCAAAAATCATGTGCTCACAGTGCTTCATCAAAAACTGGTCCTAAACTTTCACTACCAACCCGCTGATAAAAAGCTGCTCAACAGAGTCATGAGCAGCAGCGGGAGCAACATCATCATCATCATCAGGAATCACAACCGGGGCCTCAACAGACTCGGTAAGAGGAATAGAATTGTGGGGGATGCTTTTGCTTCATCATCAGAAATGATGCGTCTCCGAGCCCGTGGCCTTGTTACCAAAGAGCCCCTGTCTTCCTCTTCTTTAGAGCCTTGGTCATCAACGACTTTTCTTTTCGATGAAGAACCCAAGATTATTTCTTTGGCCCTTTCCAAAGAGATACGAGAAGCCGTGACCGCCTCGGCACTAACTCCTCGAATAGAAAATCCTGCTAGAAAGAAGGATTGAAATTAGTTCAGAGAAATAAAAAATATATGTAAGATAAAATAAAATAAAAGCTCTTACCATGAGTTTTTACTTTCCAACCAAATCGTTGGGAAAGGGTCTTCCAAGATCTACCATCCATTGGTGCAATCTTCAACAGCTTATCTACCCAATCACGGAAATTGGGAACATCTTCCACAATTCCCATGGTTGCTGAAAAAGAAAAGCAAAATTATAAAAATCAACAAAATTGAAGAAAAAGGTACGAGAAAGTTAGAAGACTCACGTGCAAAATTCCTTCTCAAGGAAGGGAACGTTGTCATCACCCACTAAACCAACAGTGGAGGCAGCAACAAACATGGCATACCAGCCACGGTCTTTGTCATCTTCAGCACTCACCAAAACTCTTTTGCTTCTGGCTACTAGTGTAAAAACACCATTGCGAAAGAGTCTTGGGGAGTAAAGGTGGATCAGATGTGGGAAAGTAAAAGGCACACTGGCTGTGTTGGTCAAATGCCTCAAACAGGCAACAACCCTCCATATTATTGGGCCAATTTGACCTAAGCAAACATCAAAGAAATGACAGAACTCGAGAATAACAGGATCAATCGCAGGTCTGAATCCTAAAGTAAAAGGGTACGTATAGACAAAGAAAAATCCGGTTAAGTAGGAAGTAATTCTTTGATTCGGATTGGGAATGATAATAGGAAAATTATGACTCCAATGGCAGTCTCTACGAACTATAGAAATCAAACCTTCAGTAATTTGAGTGGGATAGATATCAACACGATCTAAAGAAGATACTTGGTTTCTAAGAGACTCTCTGTCATTATAAAAAGATAATTTTGCAGGAACTATCTCCTCTACTAAAGGTTCACGAAGAGGTTCAGAAGGTTCTTTACCCCTAGAAGAAGATCTTTGTGAAAGAGAACCCCTAGTTCTAGAAGAGTGGCCAGAACTAGGTGAAGGAACAGAAGAACCATCTATAGATGAAGATCCTAAATTACGGAGCCTACCTCCTCTTCTGCTCCTACTGGGGGTATTAGGTTATCAACAATGGGGACCCTTCTAGGGTTAGGGTTTGATAAAGATATGATAGTACGAGGAAGGCACAAACAAAGATTTGAGAAATTAGATGATCAGAAAACTTTATGTGGTAAAGACAAAGAAGAAAATTATATTCATACTACGAAGCAACCGTCAAAGGAAAAGATGCACTGATGGAAAAGTCATAATGAGAACTGATGCTTCGTGATTAGTGAAGCTGTGAAAAAGCCCTAAAAAGTGCTGCAAAGTTGTAGATCCAGTAAAAGGGTGTCACACGTGAAGAGCATTAAATGGAAGTAACAAATGAAGTGTTGATTTTGCTATAGCATTAATGGTAACAAAAATTCCCGTTTTAATGAATTCCACTTCCCAAATATTCAATTGATGAATAAATGGCAAGTGGGGGCACTATCTGTATTGGAAAAAATTGAGTTTACATATTAAAGTGATTGAAAGATGACGTGTCATGACACATAGACTGGTCAAAGAGTTACAACTGACAAAGAGGCACGAGTTGCAACAGATACGAGCAAAGGCAAAGGAAGAGGCACTATCGGTTATCCAAAAGACTCAGCGCTCATACTTATTTAAGTCCAAGAATCAAGGGAAATGAATCTAATACTACATGGGAGTACAGATACAATATTTAATGAGCCTTAAATACTAAAAATGTTAGAGAATCTATATTAAATACAATGATTATGTAACGTAACATTTAATTTCTTTAATTGTCCATAATGACTTTATTATGACAAAAGCAAAACGCATATCTTCAAAATAGCTATAAAAGGGAGAGAACAGATCAATTGTAGGGATACAAAATACTATCTGAATATACCGATTTACTTGCTTTTCTTCTGATTATCTTATTGCTAGCTAAATTACTTTCTTTCATATATTCTTTTAATTATCAGTAACCCAAGTTCTTCTAAATTAAAGCTTTGACCGAAATCCCATTTTTTGGTTTAACAAGACCACCAAGTTAAAACTCTCAGAGCCTTTTATTTCAGATAGAATGAATTTGAGTTTAATTTGTACAACATGGAATACAATAAAGGAGAAAACATCTATTGTAAAAATGAGCACTAACTAGACCTTTTGCTGAAAGCTTCCCTATTACTTAATGAAGAAACAGGACCTAACACTGGTGGTTTCTCTTTTATTACCTCCAAACTAAATACCACTATTGTGTAAATCTGAAATTGATTGTAAAAGATCAACTTATATGTACATCACATCATCGTTTATGCTGAATTCCCCCGACATAAATTCCTCAAATCCATTTGCAGAGATGGATTCCTCAAACTTGAGTTGGGGTTCAAAAATATCATCTACTATCCCATTGTTAACTTCTTGATTTATGCCATTCACATAGCTGCCGCCATTCATCGGCAAACTGTGCATGAATATGTCTTGCAACTCTGAATTATTATAGCCAAAGTTATTATTGGAAGGATCAAAGTTCTGGAAGTTTTGCCCATTAAATTGATGTAACGAAAGCCATTCCGCGAATAATACTTTGGGTAAATTACTCTTTTGAGGCTCTCTTGAAATGTCAGCAGATTGATTTGAATCAGCCAATGATCCTTCTATGTGTTCAAATGAGTCCAAACTAGAATTTTGGGTAATCAATTTCTTGGAAGAAGGTGACGATTCTCGGTTTCCAGATGTAGTTTGTTGTGCCATTTTGGACACTCTCTTCTTTAGATAAGAGTGCCAGTGGTTCTTTATTTCATTATCTGTTCTTCCAGGCAACTGCTGTGCAATCTGAGACCACCTGTACATAACCTTAATTACATACTTATAACTAATGAATTCACTTTCATTCTTCAGATTCTCAAGAGTGGTAAAACTCATTCCAAATATTTTATTGCTAAATAAAAACCTTGATACCCTATATGTATATAACTAACTCATGTGATTCGCCTTAGCCTTTTTTAGAGTGATTTAAAAAAAGGATCTCTAGACTATGTAGTGCGGACTCTCTAAAATGTTGTTGTACTCGTGTCAGATCCTTCAAAAATACACTACTTTGGAAGGATCCGACATGCATCCGACAACAATTTCGGAGAATCTGAGCAACATAATCTCTAGATAGTTTGATGTCTAATTAACTGCAAGAATTGAGAAATTTTAGAAGAAACAAAGGCTTTATAGTCTATGCAATGATCTAATATATTAGTTTTGTTTTAAACCTAAACGACATGTAACTGTATAAAGCAAGCCTAAATTAGTAACCTGAAAATAATGTGATAAATTATTTTAGAAACTGATAATATATGAAAATCATGAATACTGTTAGTTTATATAAATTAAATTCATAAATAAAATAACCTATTTTCTCTATCGCTCTTGAGAAATTCACGTAACCGTGTTTAGAAAAAGTCCGTCGACCATCATAGCAAATATTTGTTAATATAATTAACTGGCAGCAAAGTAGGTGAATCCTCAGAGGATATTGTTTTGAAGTCAACTTACAAGAATTATTTACAACATACTTGTGTTTTTCTAATTTAAAATGGTAGAGACAGTCAAAAAGCTGACTACCTCTTCGAATTCCAGAAGTGTAATTGGACATTACATTATGGTCTATAAAACAAGAATAAGAGTAATTGTTTGAGATATTATCAAAGATATAATTAAGTAAGTTGTCAAATTAAATTTAAACAAATTGATAACACAAATTATCTTACTTGTTGCCAAACATGGCATGAAGGGTAAGGATTGTCTCTTCCTCGTCTAAGCTAAATGCCCCTCGCTTTAGGCCAGGCCTTAAGTAATTAATCCACCTCAATCTGCAACTTTTTCCATTCCTTTGCAAGCCTGTAAAATGATTAATTATATTAACAGGAATACCACTGATGTCAACGATAATACATGTTAGACGTGGTCTTAATAAACCTCTCTCTTTCTCTCTCTCCCTTGTGTTGAATTTCTCAAAAACTATTCTATTGTTTGTTGACTTCTTGCTGCCATCTTATAAGTTGTTACACTTAAAACTATTCCCAAGTAGTGCGCCAAAGATAACGAACTCGGCTGACGCCTATTTCTACGTACATAAGCCATCGTACTATTTTACTTTTGTTTATCGTATTATAATCCTATTTTTGCCCCCCC